ACGGTCCCTTGGGGCTGCAGAGCCGGGAGCTGGGGCAGCCTCGCTGGCCGTGCTGCTCTGCTTTGGTGGGCTCAGCACATCTGCTTCCAGGCTGCCAGCTTCCTTCCCCAGCTGAGCCAATGCTCTATCACCTTCAGGTGTGCCTGCACCGGCACCAGCAAGTACATCAGCATCTGGTTTTACTGCCTCACTGCCCGGGGTTTGGATTTCTTGTGGAAAAACACACGTATCAGGCAATTCTGTGGTTTGAGCCGGGTCTGTGCTTAGAGGCGGCAGAGAGTCTTGTTCCTCAGAGCCGGAAGGACATTTCTTTGCTTTATTCCTCTTCTTTTTCTATCAAAAAAAAAACCCAAAACACAGAAACAAACACCACAATGCCTGTTTATTCATTGTCAAAGAGAAATTCATTGTCACTTCCTCCACTGCAGCAAGTACCGACATCTTCCTGCAACTCTGGGTAAATAGAGAGAGCAATCAGGAAGAGGAGGGACAAGACCAGCTTGTGAAACGCTGATAACCCTTGGGAATTCTGCAGTTTTACTATTCAGGCCTTGCTCAGGCGGGGCACAGGGCAGCGCTGCAGTGAATGGTGTGCTGTTCCCCCAGCAGCACAGGCAGTGCCAGGGGAGCTGCAGGCCCAGCACAGCGTCAGCAAACACAGCGTCAGCAAACACAGCCACCCTTCCCTGGAGGAACACAGGCAGCAGCTCCCCGCTGTGGCCAAAGGGATCTGTGGGATGCAGCCCAGCCCCATCGCTTCAGAGGGGAGAGCAACAAGTCACAGCTGCTCCCCAGCACCGACCAAGAGCCTCACCTTCCGCTGGGATGTCCTGGCAGAGTCACCAGCCCCGCACTCAGCTGTGGGCTGGGAGCTGTCACCCGCAGCTGTCGCATCCTCCAGCAGCGATGACCCCTCTTCCCCCTCCTGCGTTTCAACAGGGGGAGGAGCCCCACCTGCAGTGCATTCAGGTGTGGTGTCTGAGGTGTCGATCAGAGCCCTTGCATTATCCATCAGCAATTCTCCCTCTGCCTCCTTGTTTCCAGTGGAGGAAGAAGGCCTGGCAGCACCTTCTCCCTTCACCTCTGTTCCTGCATCAGGGACTGGAGAGGGCTGCACTTCTCTTCTCTCTGCAGTGGAGGCAAAGTTCATTGTTAAACTAGAGACTCACCCCCCAGTGGGATCACAAAACAGGTTGGAAGGGACCTAAAAAAAGCTCCTCTTGTTCTACCCTGTCATGGGCAGGGACACCTTCCACTAGACCAGGTTGCTCCAAGCCCATGGACGGGGGAGAAAATAAAAAAAAAAAACACCAACATGTAACACTCACAGGTTCAGATGAAGACAGTTTAAAAGGACAGGAAAAGGGAAGGAAAATTATAACAAGAGAATATAGCAAGCAAGTGATGCACAGGGTGGTTGCTCACTACCCCCTGACTGATGCCCAGCCAGTCCCTGAGCAGTGGCCATCACCTCCCCCAGCCACATCCCCCCAGGTTTTTGTTCAGCATGATGTCCTGCAGTCTGGAACATCTCTTTGGGCGTTGGGCTCGGCTGTCCTGGCTGTGCCCCCTCCCCATTCTCGAGCCCCCCAGCCCCTTGCTGGCCAGGCAGGGTGAGAGGCTGAGAAGTCCTTGGCTCAGTGTAAGCACCGCTCAGCAGCAGCTGAGCCAGCAGGGTGTTATCAGCAGGACTGTGAACCCAAACACGGCTCTGCAGCAGCTTCTTGGAAGAAAACTAACTCTATCCCAGGCAAAGTCAGGATAGGAACACAGAGCAGCTGTTCTGTTGTTCCCTGCTCCACAACTCCCACCAGCAGAGCCACCACTCTCCCTGCACAGCCTCCTGCCCCTGCCCCAAGGCCCTGCCAGCAGCAGAATGATTAAGGAACCAGAGGAATGAGGCACTGCTCCAACCCTGCCCCTCCTCTGGACCCCCAGGACGAGCAGTGACAGGACACTGGTCTCAGTTCTCACAGCCTTCTGGGCTGGCTGTGTGACCACTCCCACACAGCTGAGTTGTTTCCAGGAAGGCAGGGGAAACTCCCTTTTTACCTTCATCTTTTATCTAGTCCTTAAAAAAACTGTGGAAAGGCAGCTCAGGGTCAAGTCAGGCATCAGAGCAGATCTCTGCCTTCTGCAGGGGTTTCACAGGCTCCTCTGCACAGCTTCTACCCCAATTCTGAGCGCAAAAGCTTTGAACCTCAGCTGCTTTTGATGTCCTTCCTACAGCATTTCAGAGCTGGAGACCCCGGGTTTGTTACCCTGCCACGCTGGACTGCAGCGGGATTTGCCAAGAACTGATCCTGTCAGCACTGCAGCAGTGTGCTCTTTAAAGATACCACTCCTTCCTATCAACAAACCAAAAGCCATTCTGGTAGCCCAGGACATTGTCTTACACAAAGAAAGGATTAGAAAATATTTTCCCCACCATAACAGTGCTGTGTACTTAATCCTGTCAATGCTCAGAAAGGCAGAATTACTGTGTTCTAAACCTAACAACAAGATGCAAGTAGGATATTCTGGTTCAAGAGGGACTCAATCAGTCTTTGTAACACAAAAAGCAGTACCAGTTCATTGGCAAAACAGAAATTAGTTCAGCACTGGAGACCTGTGTGTGGAGACCATGTGTAGGATGCGTCAGCAGCTGACCCCCTTCTGTGTCCCCCATCAGTCACTGCAAAGTGAGAAGAACTGTCTCTGGTCAGGAAGGCAAGGGGAGCTGAGGATGAGAGTGTTGCAGTGATTACAGCATTAGTAGTAGTTTGGTCAAGGGTTGCTCTACAGGGCAGGCCTGAGAGAGGCCCTGCCAGAAACAAGCCGAGACTTGTTAGGGTAAGAATCTGCTGACCGAGAAGAAACAATGATCATAGGATTTAGTCAAGCATGCAGAACCAGGTACAAGATGATTTGTAACTAGAGATAGGATGTGGTCTGGTGGTGGGAGTCAGTTATACAATGTTTAGAGTTAGGCTGATAGAGTAAAATTTATGGCTGAAAGGGTAACGGTTGATTGTATTCAGGGTGATATATGTTTGCTTTGATGTGTAAAGCCAATCATGTGGCCTCGTTTGTTAAAGAGTATAAAAGATGCAGCCGACCCCACACCTCCTACCTGCGTCCTGGTCTCCAGGGATGGCACTGGGAGCCAGCCTGGCCCCACACTTGCTGCAAGAACCGGGCGGACCGTCCCCAGAAGCGACGTGACACACTTGGCACTGCATGGTCCCGGTCACAGGCCCTGGGGGGACCTTGGGAGCCACGAGGGGAGAGAAGGGGACAGGGCAGAGAGAGAAACACCGGCATTAAACTGTGGCAATGGACTTTGTCACGTCACCCTCGGCCCTGCTCCATTTTGTCAGGAAACAACCCGTCCCGTCCCCCGCCGGCACTGGCAGCGCGACTCACCGAGGGGCCGGGACCCGGCACCGGCACCTGCAGCGCCCGCTCGGCCGCCCTGGGCCGCCGCCTCCCGCCCGGGGAAGTTTCGTTTTTCCACCGAGCCGCCAAGTTTCGTTTCTGGAACGTCACGGTCCCCGCCCGGCCCCGAGTGACCCGGCCAATCCCTTCTCCGGCCACCTCCCCCGGGCGGCTCCCGGCGGGGTCCCGCCCCGTCCGGCCCCCCCATCCCGCCGGGGGCTTGGGGGGCAGCGGGGGGCCGAGAGTCGGGGGTCTCCGGATACCCCCTGCCACCCCCTGGGCACGGGCAAAGAGCCGCTGCCGGGGCAGGGAGTGGGTGCTGCTCGCCGGGGCCGCCGGGCAGCCCCGGTGGGACGGGCCTGGAGCTCAGCCACTTCTCTGCGTTTCCCGCAGCCCGCAAATCCCCGGCGGAGCCCCCGTTTTTCTGGTTTGGGCTGGTGGGCTACAGACACGCCAACCCCCCCAGTGCCGGCACTCCGCGGGCGGCTGGAGCAGGGCTGGGGGCGATGGGGCAGGTGTATCGTAGGAAAGCACATCATGCTGGATCCGACGATCAAAAGTCAAAGTGGATCCAATCGTAAAAAGAGGGGATGCAGCTGTTGCCGCATCCCAGGTACAACGAGGACCAAGCTGAAGACGCGCTCCCAGCACACCTGGTCTCCTGTAGCACTCACACGGGTTTGAGCACACACACTATTCCCACACAATCGGCCCTTTTGACCCCCATACTCCTGTTTTCCCGCTCTCAGCATCCCCGGGTGCAGTAGGGAACTCACCACCCAGCGCTGCTCCGCTGCAGGAATGAACACCCCACGGCAGGACCTGCCGGCCCTGGCAGGTGTGTGGCTCCCGGGCACCTCTGCTGCTCTCGCAGAACCCGCAGCACAGCTCTGGCAGGAGGAACTGCACCGGAGTGCGCCCTCGGGCTCGGATCAGCCGGGCAGCCCGAGTTTGGTTTCAGTTTCTTTTCCTTGGAGTGCTCGGCAGCGCCCAGCAGATGATTTCCCCTTTCCACACAGAAGAGAAAGCTTTCCCCAAGAAAGACAAAGATCACACTGACTCATTAGCAGTTCCTGATTTATTACAGCCTCGGGGCCCGGTGCCAGCCGAGGGCTGCTCAGGAAAGCTCAACTCCCGACCCTGCCCAGCCCCACCGGGAGACCCCCATGGCACAGCCAGGCACGGGCTGCTGTAATGGGCCCGACCCCTCGGCAGGACTCAGGCGAGGGGCTGCACCCCGGGGGGACAGCCCAGCCCTGCCCCCGGGCAGCGTTTGGCACAACACCCACCAGAGGGATCAGTAAGGAGCACAACCCCGATGTTTCCCTGAGCCACCTCGTGCCCTCGAGCTGGAGGGCAGTGCCAGCAGCCCTGAAACTCTCTTTGAGGAGAGCACGCAGTCGGTGTGGCCCAGAGCGTGGAAATCGTCCAGAATTAAAACAGTGGATTAAAAAAACGACTGCAGCTCTGTGAAGGAGTTCTTTGTACTGATCACTGGGACAGGGAATGGTTTTGTCCCACTGAACCCTTCCAGGGAATGCCTGTCCTCAGCCTGTGGAGGAGGGGAGGTGCCAGAGCCTCGGTGCTCACCCCAGCTTCTGTGGGGTCAGGCTGGTGCTGCTCTGCCCTCCCTGGTGTGGGACACCAGGACAGTCCATCCCCAGCCACCCAGGAGCTGGGCAGGGGCAGGTGGCTCCCACAGAGGGTGTTGATGTCACTGGGGTGTCACAGGATGTTGAAGCCCAGCACAAATGGTGACTCCTCGACTCACTGGATGAGCCCCGAGCTCTCAGTGGTGCCGCTGAAGGGGTCGGTCCTGCTGTCCCACGGCTCTGCTCCTCTGCACCGCTCTGGGCCAGGAAGGGGGAGAAGCAAGTTAGGGCCAGATTTTTGTCCTGCTTTTAGCTGGGATAGAGTTAGTTTTCTTCCAAGGAAGTTGTACAGAGCTGTGTTTGTGTTCAGGATGAGAATCCTGCTGATAACACCCTGCTGGCTCAGCTGCTGCTGAGCGGTGCTTACACTGAGCCAAGGACTTTTCAGCCTCTCACCCTGCCTGGCCAGCAAGGGGCTGGGGGGCTCGAGAATGGGGAGGGGGCACAGCCAGGACAGCCGAGCCCAACGCCCAAAGAGATGTTCCAGGCCACAGGACATCGTGCTGAACAAAAACCTGGGGGGATGTGGCTAGGGGAGGTGATGGCCACTGCTCAGGGACTGGCTGGGCATCAGTCAGGGGGTAGTGAGCAACCACCCTGTGCATCACTTGTTTTGGATATTCCCTTGTCATTATAATTTTCCTTTCCTTTTCCTGTCCTATCAAACTGTCTTTATCTCAACCCACAAGTTTTACCTCTTTTGTGATTCTCATCTCTGTGGGAGGAGTGAAGGGCTGTGTGGTGTTGAGCTGCTGCTGGGTTAAACCACGACAGCTCACGTGAATGAATCCCTGAGGCTGGGCTGACCAGCTCGCCTTCCCAGGAGCCAGGTCCTGCAGCCCCACCCCTGCTGCTTTGGGGCTCAACAAAGGCCAGACCCCCAGGTTCGTCCTCCAAAGCCCCACTCATCAGCATCCCCAGAGAGCACCAGGGGCAGCCCAGAGCCTCACCTGCCTCCTCCCGGCTGGAGAAATGCTGGAATCCTTCTAAGTCAGCAGACAGGAGGACTTGGATAACAGGGTCCTGAGGGCAAAGAAACCTGGGCTGGGGGAGCACTGGCCACTTCCCGTCCCTCCAGAGCTGAGCCCCAGCCAGCCTAGAGCAGAGGATCCAGCCCTTCCCACCACCCGCATCCTGCAGCCTCCACCTCTGCGAGATGAAGGTGCTGAGATGATAAAGGTGCTGCCACAGGAGAGGCCAGCACAGGCCATGGGGGAAGGCAGCTGGGCTGAGCCCATTGGGATGGGGCAGCAGGTCCCACACACCTTCAGGCCACAGAAGGCCAGTGAGAGGCCGTGCTTGCGCAGCTCCTGCAGCAGCTCTGCCAGCCCCACCACCACCGTGTAATCAATGCTGCTGACGTGGCAGCAGTCCAGGATGACGGAGCGTGGTGGAGATGCTGCTGGAAGAGCATAAGGTCATGTCCCTGATGAGTCCAGAAATGACCAGCCCAGGGGTCACAGCCCTCAGAGCCAGGGCCGGGGCTGGCAGGGGTGGGACAGGCTGGTCCTTGCCATGCACAGGGAAGCTGTGCTGTCACCACTTGCACCTGCAGCCTGTGGGTCTGGGCAGCGCTTGCCACCCCCACCAGAAGTGATCCAGGTGGGCACCAGGCAGCAGCTGGGTCCCCAGGACAAGCCAGCAGGCCAGGGAGCGCCGTACCTGCCAGAGCATGGCTGCACACGGTGTCCCGGAGGTGCTCGATGGCTGGGAAGTGCAGGCTGCTCCCCGGCTGCACGAGGAGCACGTCCCCCTCCGACACCTGCACAGACCCCAGTGCAGGGGGACAAGTCACTGGGAACTCAGGGCTGTGACCTTCCCAGGTGGGGACAACTGCCCATGTCACCCACTGTCCTCCTGGACAGAGAGGGACACACAGGAGCCCCCATCCCTCAGGGAAAGCCCCTCCTGCCCACACCCAGCGTCAGCAGAACAGGGACAGCAATGCCTCCCCCTCCTGCTCTCCAATCCTGGGAGATTCCCTTCCTTGTGCTCTTTGAAAGAGGTCCCTGTGCTGAGCCCATGGCAGGCTGGTGACACGGGAAAAGGCATGAACAGGACAGAAGCATCATGCACCCCAACACCTCACTGCCCTCAGGAGCCCTCTCCCAGATCCCTGGAGATCCCTGTGGCCATGCCACATCTGAGGGGAGGTGTGAAGCCCACCTTTATTGGGGGCCTGGCAATGGAGTAGAGCAGGAGAATCCCTGAGACCAGAACCCCAGCCACAATTCCATACTGCACCTCCCAGAAGCAGAACAGGAACGTCACGCAGAGGGGCACAAGGTCCAGCCCTGTGAGAGACAGCCCAGGCTCAGCTTTGCTTTGTCCTGATGCCACAGGGGCCTCAGGGACCGTGCCTGCTCTGCAGGGAGAGCTGAGCTGCACCAGGGGATCAGCTCCCCCAGCTCGTGCCCTCACTCTTAACCCGCCAGAGCGTCCTGAAGATCCCAGCATCGAACATGGGCACCACGGCCGAGATGATGACGGCGGCCAGCGCCGCCCTGGGGATGTAGTAGAAGAGTGAGGTGAGGTAGGCCAGCGAGAGCAGGACCAGGGCACCTGTGGGAAGTGGGCAGCCCCTGAGCCAAGGGGTCTCTGATGCCCAGAGCTCCCAGGCAGCGGGGCCTGCAGAGCAGCCCACGGCAGGGTCAGGGCTCTACCTGTGACGAGCCCTCCCGCGGGGGTGCAGACCCCTGACTGCGCATTCACCGCTGTCCTGAAATGCAAAGCAACACGTCCCAGGCTGTGAGGGGGCCAGGGGCAGCCCCCACCCACTGCCCAGACACCCCACCCAGGAAAATCACTGACCCTGCCTGACCCCAGCAGGGAGAAACACAAGCAAGAAACACCAGTGGCTCCCAGCGGGACCGCAGAGCACCGAGACGAGAGAGAAGGTGGCCATGGGACACACACACAGCCTGGCCACCAAGGTGGGCTGCTGGGACCAGGAGATAAGCTCAGAGACCCACTGGGGTCTGCACAATCTTCCACCCAAGGTCTTGCAAAGCCCCCTCACCACACAGGCCCAGTGAGTGTCCTGTGGGCTGGGGTCTGCCCCCCCTCCTGCTACCCACCGGCCGAAGCTGCCCGTGATGGGATATGATGAGACGAAGGAGCCCAGGATGTTGGCAACGCCTGTGGAGGGGAAGGAGAGGGGCTGGGGAGGCACCACCAGGGCCATGAGATGGGTCTGTGTCCCCATCAGCAGTACCAGGGGCCAGATCAGAGTCCATCCCGCTGTGCAAGTGTGACTCAGCCTGCCCTGGAAACTCCTGAGCTGTGGGGACAGCTTTGGTGGGGGCAGCATGCAAGGTAAGAAAAGGAAAACTTCAGGGAGCGGTAGGACTGCTGAGAGGGGATCTCCTGTAGCTCAGGAGCTCTGGGATACATGGTAGTGCTGAAGCCAGACCCCCACCCCTGAACCTCCTGCTCCAAAGCAGTGTCTTACCCAGAGCCAGCAGCTCCTGGTTGGGGTCAATCCTGTAACCATTCTGCGAGGCTGAAAGGAGATACCTGCATCAGCCCGACTACCGATGGCACAACCTGCCATGCACAGGGAGTGGGGCCAGCACTGACTGGGACAGTGTGGGTCCTGTCCTGACACCCCTCGGGCACAGGAGCACCCCGAGACAACAAACAGCAAATTTCAGCTGTGCTCCCTGCGGGACCCCTCCTGCCAGCCCACACGATGGAATGGGCTCAGTGCAGGCAGACCAGTGCCCCCGTGAGAAGAGCACCTTCCCCAGCACCCCAGGCCCCTGCAGAGACCCCTCCCCAGCACCCCAAGCCCCTGTGGGATGCCCCACGAGTGCAGGGCAGGACTCTGGCGCAGCCGTACCAAAAGCCTTGGCAATGGCGATGGTCTCCAGCAGGCCCATGAGCGGGACCACGGCCAGCCCGACCCCCATGTCCTGGGAGGGAAGGATCCAGTGAGGGAGGGCCGGGAGCGGCCTCGTCCCAACGTGCAGGGAGCCAGCACACGCAGGAGGGAGCAGAGCAGCCCGAGGGGAGCTTGGCCTCCACCAGCCCCCCCGGCACTCACCTGCACCATGCTCCCGAAGGGGACGGTGCCGTTGGGCGCTGCCGTGGAGAAGTGAGGTGGCCGGAAGGCAGGGAGGCCCCGGGGGATGCTGCCGGTGAGCGTGAGGGGCTGGGAGCCCATCACCTCGAAGGAGTAAGCAACCAGACCAGCAAACAGGACGACGAGGGCGTTGCGTGCTGCAGAGGAGAGAGCAACCCTAGAAACCTGCCCAGAGCCAGGGCAGCAGGAGGGAGTGCTGGAGATGGGTATCTGAGCTGCCAAAGACTTCCAAGCCTTGGGAAGGGGCACACACAGTGGCAGGACCACCCTTAGGACTTTGTCCTCCCCGACCCATTTCCCACATCTCAGCTCCTGCCAACCTAGGCTTTACCAGTTTTGGGCTGTCTCTTCCTTGCCCCAAAGAGACGAGCCCCGGGAGGAATGGCTGCGGGAGGGGATGGGGCAGGGGATGGCTGGCACACCTGTGGCAGAGATCCAGACGATCTGGCAGCTGATCCTGGCAGCCAGAGGCTCCGCAGAGGCAGCTCGGGGCAGGCGGCTCTTCATGGCCCGGAGCGCTGCCAGCGCGGCCAGGCAGGCCAGCCCCAGCACAGCGTCCCCAGCCCTGCAACAGGCACATCAGTGCCAGCCCAAACACGCTCTGGGGCACAGGAACAGCCCCACAGCTGCAGGGCAGGGAGCGGGGAAGTGCCGACCTGGTCTCCCCAATCCTCCGCAGAGTCTCATACACCTGCAGGAAGAACTGCCGCGGGATCCCCTGCAGCCCCAGGATGTTCTGTGCAGGGAGACAAAGCCTGGGGAGAGCCTGGCTCAGCTCCAGCTGCCGGGTGCCACGGCCCCTGGAGCTGCGCCGTCCCCCACGGCCGCAGCCATTAGCCAACCCCGGCCTGCCAGCTGCTGCCAGAGGCTCTGATTTGGGTTAACCACAGAGGAAGCGTGGCAGCCCCGGCAGAGCCACACGGCCTCATGTCCCTGAGAGGCCAGCAAGGGGCTGAAGGGCTGCAAACCCACCGTGCCAGAGAATCACCCAGCACCCCTTGCAAGTGACCAAATCAAATCTCCTGCTTTTACTGGTGTCCTGGATGTCACCAGCTGGTCACAAGCAAAGGGTGTGTTCAGCTTGGTCTGCTCAGAGCAGAGCTCTCAGGGACCCAGCAGAACTGCTGGTAGGGGTCTCACGACCCCTTTGGGGCTCCTTCCTCTGGCACCAAGAGCATCACCCAGCCCAGTGCTAAATATCCCAGTTCACAGCACTAGGAGACAGGTGGTGAGGCATCCAGGGCAGAGCAGATCCTACCTTGATCTGGTTGAAGCTAATGGTGATGGAAGCAGCCAATGTGAACCCTTTAATGACAGGGCAGGAAATGAAATCCAGAAGGAATCCTGCATGGGATGGGCAGCACTGAGCACGCTGCTGGCCCTGGTAGGCACCCAAACGGGGTGTCTGTGTGCACAGAGCTGTCACAAGCGTTAGCAGGACAACCCTAGTGTCCCAGAGAGCAGAGACAAGGGGGGAACAACTACAGGATGTACAGCAATATCCTAAAAATACAGTGAAGCATGGCAAGAGCATCTCACCGAGGTGCAGGAGCCCCATGGCCAGCTGGATGCAGCCGGAGAGGAAGGCGAGCAGGACGGCATAGACAGGCTCGTGGAATGCGTAGGAGGAGACGAGCAGTGACATGATGGCCGTGGGACCCAGAGTCACGTCCTTGGCAGTGCCCAGGAAGAAGTAGACGAAGCAGCCCATGAAGGAGGAATAGAGGCCATACTGCAGGGGGGCAGAAGGGCCACTGGAGTAACGCCGGATGCTGGCAGAGCCCAGACACCTCCTCGGAGAGGAGGGCTGCGCTGATCTCGGGTCACTCCGGGGCACTTGGCACACACGTGGCATCAGGAGCTTCCTGCCCGGGAAACGGGCGACTGCTCAGGGTCAGCTCTTGGTCGCCCAGCCTAGCCCTGCCCGCCGGGCTGCAGGCGGCTCGGGGAGCGGGGGTCCCCGGGCCCCCCAGTCACAGGCAGCTCGGGAGGAGAGTGTCCCACACCACCCTGGTCACAGGCAGCTCGGGGCGCGGGGGGTCCCCGGGTCCCATTGCCGGTGCCGGCACCCACCTGCAGCGGCAGCCCGGCCAGCTCGGCGTAGGCCAGCGCCTGCGGCACGGCTGTCAGGCCCACGGCCAGCCCGGCCAGCAGGTCCAGCGGCAGCCAGGCCCGGGAGTACCGCGGGAGCCAGCGCAGCACCGGCAGCGCCGGGCGCGGGCAGCGGGACCCTGGCATGGCGGGGACACCCCGGCCCGGGCACCCCCGGCCGCAGCTCCGCTCCCGGGGCGGGACCCTGGCGGGGCCGGGGCCGGCGGGGCCAGCCCGCTCCGCCCGCGGGGACCGTGGCTCCGCCCGGGCCGGATCTGAGCGGCCGGGGCCGCCTCATGTGACCGGGGCGAGGAGGAGCCGCCTAGTCCCGGTGCCGGTGCCGGTGCCGGTGCCATGCGGCCCTGGGCGCTGGCGCTGCTGCTCGGAGCGCTCCGGGCCGGCGCAGCCCCGGCCCCGGCCCCGGCCCGCAATGTGCTGCTGCTCCTGGGTGAGTGCGGCCGCAGGCCCAGCCGAGCCCCCGAGCCGGGGCCAGGCCCGTCACCCCCAGGAACCCCCTGCCCGGGGCTCGGCGCTCGGGGCGCCCCGCGGATGGGCGGGGAGGGACGGTCCGGAGGTCCCGCTGCATCCCCTCCCCTGGGGCGGTCCCCGCAGCTCCGGCCCCAGCCCAGGTCACCCGCAGCCCGGGGATGCTGTCGGTGTCATTAGCGTACCCCGGGCTGTGCCCCCGCGCCCGGTCAGGGACGCGCCTCGGGCTCACCCGCACTCCTTCTGCCGCAGCCGATGACGGGGGCTTTGAGAGCGGCGCCTACAACAACTCGGCCATCCGGACGCCCAACCTGGACGCGCTGGCCCGGCGTGGTGTGGTCTTCCAGAACGCCTTCACCTCCGTCAGCAGCTGCTCCCCGAGCCGGGCCAGCATCCTGACCGGCTTACCGCAGGTAGGGGCACGGCCAGCCCTTGGCACATGGCCAGAACTGGCATTCCTATGGCACAATCCTAGGATGGGGCAAACCCCCCGCCTGCTGGCCCACCCTTTTCCCAGCCCCCAGGACCTGTTTCCCCCACTCACACATTGAGAGCACGGCTGCATGTGTTTTGGGGCCAGGCTGGCAGCCCTTGTCCAAGCATGCTGTGTCTCCTCACCTGCAGCACCAGAATGGGATGTATGGGCTGCACCAGGACGTGCACCACTTCGACTCCTTCGATGGCGTGCGGAGCCTGCCCCTCCTGCTCAGCCAAGCAGGTGTCCGGACAGGTAGGGAGGCAAAGGCAAGGGACACGGGAAGGGAAAGCCTCCCTTCTTGCACCGATCCCCAGTGGGCAGGAGAGCTTGATGGCCAAACTGCCTGTGAGCCAGGGAGCACCCCTGAACCCGTGCCTATCCCCCGGGGAAGAAACAGCAGTAGGCACGTCCCCCCACTCCCTCTGCTCCTGGCACACCACCTGCCTGTGTTCGTGCAGGGATAATTGGGAAGAAGCATGTTGGGCCAGAGGCTGTGTACCCCTTCGACTTTGCCTACACAGAAGAGAACAGTTCGGTCTTGCAGGTTGGGAGAAACATCACCCGGATCAAAGTGCTCGTCAGGCGGTTCCTGCAGAGCCAGGACGACAGGTGAGACGGCCCCCGCATCCCAGGGCCAGCTGTGAGGGGCACAGGAGAGGAGGGAAACCAGATTCGCTGAAGACGTGTCCCCACATCCCAGCTGGTCATAAAAAGGAAGGGACTCCTTGTCTCTGGGTCACCCCATATCCAGAAGCCCAGACTAGGTGGGAGTCCTGCCAACCCCAGCTCGTCCCAGCAGAGGGTCTCAGGAAGGTCTCAGGGGGTGTGGGCAGCCCTTTGCTCCACCACCTCCACCTTTCCATCCCTAGGCCTTTCTTCCTCTACGTCGCCTTCCATGACCCCCATCGCTGCGGGCACTCCCAGCCCCAGTACGGGGCCTTTTGTGAGAAATTTGGTAACGGAGAGAGTGGGATGGGCTGGATCCCTGACTGGAAGCCACAGATTTACCACCCGGAGCAAGTGCAGGTGGGAACCTGTGGGTCTGCGCGGGGCTGCGTGGAGCTGTGTGGGGCCCCGTGGGGGCTGCACGTGACGGCAGCCTCTGATGGAGCCAGGGCTGGCCCCCACCGTCCCTCCCCATGGTGGCCATGTGCCCCTGTCCCCTTGTCCTTTAGGTCCCCCCCTTTGTTCCCGACACGCCGGCTGCCCGGGCGGACCTGGCTGCCCAGTACACAACCATCGGGCGCATGGACCAAGGTAGGAGCTGCAGGGCCAGCCTGGCTCTGGTGAGCGCTGCAGACCCTCCAACCCCCCTCAGCTCTGCCCCTCTGTCCGCAGGGATCGGGCTGGTCCTGCAGGAGCTGCGCCGTGCCGGCTTCCTCAACAGCACCCTGGTGATCTACACCTCCGACAACGGCATCCCCTTCCCCAGCGGCAGGACCAACCTCTACCGCTCGGGCACCGCCGAGCCGCTGCTCATCTCGTCCCCCGAGCACCCCCAGCGCTGGGGGCAGGTCAGCCAGGCCTTCGCCACCCTCCTGGGTAAGAGCCCGTGCCTGCGAGAGGGAGCAGAGCTGGGCCTGGGGGATGTGAGCTGCTCCCCACGCCGAAACCCAGGGTCTTGTCCCGGGGACAGCCCTTGGATGGGAGAGGAGGGAGGACAGGACAGGGTCCCCTGTGGGACAGCATCCCAGGGCTCAGCTCTGCAGCTCATCCCAGGAGCAGCCACAGCCCATGCAGCTGCAGACCCCAGGGACCCTCTGCCCCTCTCCAGGTTGTTTCCTGCCACGGTGCCAGTCCCTTCTCTCACCTTTCTCTTCCCCTCCAGATCTGACACCGACCATTTTGGACTGGTTCTCCATCTCCTACCCCTCGTACAGCATCTTTGGCACAAAGCAGGTGCAGCTCACTGGAAAGTCTCTCCTGCCAGCACTGGAGTCAGAGCAGTCCTGGGCCACCGCCTTCAGCAGCCAGAGCCACCACGAGGTGACCATGTACTACCCCATGCGAGCCATCCAGCACCGGCAGTTCCGCCTCATCCACAACCTCAACTACAAGATGCCCTTTCCCATCGACCAGGACTTTTACGTCTCGCCCACTTTCCAAGACCTGCTCAACCGCACCAGGGCCGGGCAGCCAACCCACTGGAACAAGACCCTGCACCAGTACTACTACCGAGACCGCTGGGAGCTCTTCGACTGCAGCCGCGACCCCACCGAGAGCCAGAACCTGGCCCCCGACCCTCACTACGCTGACATCTTCCAGCTGCTCCGCACACAGCTCCTCAAGTGGCAGTGGGACACGAGGGACCCCTGGGTGTGTGCCCCTGATGCTGTCCTGGAGGAGAAACTGAGCCCCCAGTGCCGGCCGCTGCACAACGAGCTGTGAGCGTCACCTCTGCCGCTGTCCCCGCTGCTCTGGGACAGTCCTGTGCTCCCAGCGGGCAAGAGGAGGGGGAGCTTCTGGAGGACAGGGCTCCATTCCTGCCTGGAGCTGAGCACGTCCCTGCAGCTTGGAGCCAGCGGGACATCAGGCCGAGGGGCTCTGTGGTGCAGCCATGGGGCCCCCAGTGCTCTGGGAAATGGGGTGAAGCCTGCAAGGGGCTCAGGCAGCCCTGCTGGAGACCCCCAGGCAGGGAGGGAACCAGCGTGTCCCAGCCAGGGGCAGGGGGCTGAGCCACAGTTCAGTGCCAGCAGTGGCAGAGGGGACACGGGCACGGCCTGGGGCTGCTCCCAGCAAACAGCAGCTTTATTCACAGCACTGCTCCCTCACCCCCCTGCAGATCCCACTCCCCAAAACCACAGCCAGGAAACTCCCCACAGGCCACCAGTCCCCCCCAGAAACAGGTTTGCTGTCTCACAAGCCACTTGGGTCTTTTTTCCCCTGATTTGAGGACGATGAGGTTTTCCCTGTCCCGGGGGTTGTGCAAGCTCCTCTCCCCATGCCAGTCCAGTGCACACCCCTCCATGGACTCAGGGCAGCTGAAGTCCAGGAGCCACATGGTGTGGGAAGAGCAGTGGCAGCTCCGGGTTGCCCAAGGGATGGGATGGATACAGCCCTGGAGCCGGGGGGAGCAGCGTGGCCTCTCCCTGTGACCAGAGGTGGCTCAGGACCAAGAGATCACAAACTGCTCCCACATGGGCAGTGACACGGGGACCCTCAGCACCTGAGGGGGAGAAGGAAGGGTTGGCAGCTGGCAGTAGGTAGAGCTGGAGGGGTCAGAGCAGAGGGGGGTGTTCTGCCCCCATACAGAGCCACAGCCTGGCATGGTCCTGATCCCTCAGAGCACCTGAGAAGAGCATCCATGGCAGGGAGCTCCAGGAGCAGAGCTGTGCTGCTGCTCCTCTGAGCTCCAGCCCCATCAGCACATGGCCTTTCCTTCCTCCATCTCCCCATCCTCACTCCTGTCATGGTCTAATCATGCCCAGCCCTAGAGCAGTGACCCAGCCCATGCTGACAGAGCTGGTGCTGTGCCATTGCTGGGGACAGACCTCACCAGCCCCTCAGCTGCGTCCTGTCCCTTCCCACCCCCACCCCACAGGACAGGGACGAGCACTCACCTGGGTGTCACTGCGGTAGGAGAAGTCACTCACAATGGCACCGTTGGCCAGGACTCGCCGGGGAGGGCTGGTGACCCCCAGCACAGTCACAGCCTCCAGCAGGACCCCATCGAGGTGGGTGCTCGCCCGCAGCAGCTGGCTGAGCACGGCACCCTGGGGGACAGCGGGGATGTCACCGTGTGCTCCTGGGTCCCAACCACCCCATGTGCACACAGGGCTTTCCTGGTGCCCTGCTCCTCGTGCTGCCCCTCTGCCAGGCACTGAGCCCAGGGTGGTGGAGAGTACCCACTGTGCAGAGTGCTGCCAGTGCAAGAGCAGCCTCTCCGCCTGCTTGGGGCATCCTGAGGGGATGCTGGCCCCTCCACCCCACCAGCTGCTCAGTCTGGCACTTTTGGCACCACACAGCTCGGCTGCACCAGGGCACAGTGCTGCCTGTGACCACATGTGCCCCAGGGCCACCAGGACCCCCTGCCCAGATGCCCCCTGCAGCAGCCCCCCCTCACTCACGTGCGAGGCCAGGAAGAGGATCTCGGTGTAGTCCCCCCTCTCAAAGGTCTCCCAGCTCTCCCCATCATCCCAGAACAGGTCTCCCCTGGCGAAGCCGTCCGGGGTCAGCGCCACAACCAGGGCCATGCCCCTGCTGCGGGACTGGGCCGTGCTGAAGGCGGGTTCCTGGGGTGTGGGAGTGAGCACAGCTCGGGGCACTGCCAGAGCCACATTCCCCAGCCCCGCTGGACGGCACAGCCACAGCTGCCTCGGCACTGTCTGGTCTGCGGTGACGGCACTGCCACCACCCCAGGCTGGCCAGGCAGGTCACCGCGGTGTCACTGTGGAGCAGAGGGACTCACCTGCAGGGGCAGGATATGCCCTGCACGAACGTGGACGTTGATGGTGTCCAGGGGTGCTGGCAGGAGGATCCACTGCCCTTTGCTGTGGATGGTGGAGTCCTAAATGGTGACAGAGAGGGAAGAGCAGGCACAGGGTACTGTGTGCCCAAGGGGGCCATCACTGCAGCCCTCAGATGGCCAAGAGTGAAGGCAGGTGAGGCCTGGGACCCACACAAAGCCCCCACCCAGTCCCATGACACAGCAGGCAGCACCCACCCCTGCCAGGCTGTACCACGTCCCTGCTGGGAAGTAGCCGCTGACTTTGGTCTTTCCTGCCTCCAGCACGGGGGTGACAAGCAGCCCCCCGCCCCACAGGAGCTGGCGGTCCACGGCCCAGGTGTTGGGGTCTGTGGGGAACCTGGAGGAGGGAAGGGCAGTGCCAGGGAGACCCTACACCCACCTCCCACTGAGCCCGGCGGGACAGCACCCACCGGCCCCGGCTGGGCCAGCACTCACTCGAGGAAGAGGGGCCGTGCCACCGTCTCCCCAGCGGTGTGAGCCCGGTGGAAGAGGGTGTAGAGGAAGGGCAGGAGGGAGTAGCGGAGGCGCAGGGCGTTCCTCATGGCAGCCTGGGCAGCAGGGCTGAAGGCGTACGGCTCCTGCGGCTGCAGGGGAGAGGGGACGCTCATACCCCAGCCCGGGCCCAGCACCGCGGGCACGTGGCACTGCACCAGCCACCTTCCCGTGCACACTCGCTCGTCCCAGAGCCCCCTGCCCGGCAGGGTGAGGGCTCCCGGGGCTCACCCTGGTGCCGTGGTCGTTGTGGTTCCGCATGAAGGGGTAGAAGGTGCCCAGCTGTGTCCAGCGCACGCACAGCTCCTCGGACGTGTCGCCCGCGAAGCCGCAGATGTCGGCACCCACCAGCGGCACCCCGAACAGGTTGAAGAGCAGCACCTCTGCGGAGGGGGCACAGAGGGCACGGAGGCTCCGTGGTGCGGGGGGGACAGAGCCTGCGGAGCAGCCCCTGGGGGCTGCGGGGCCAGCGCAGGAGGGAAGCAGGGCTGGATGTGTCCCAGTGCCCTACAGCCTACCTGGTATGGAGTAGTAGAGCTGCTCCCAGTTGCTGCCGACGTCCCCTGTCCAGTGCCCGGCGTAGCGCCCGTGCCCAGCGAACGTGGAGCGTGAGATGACGAAGGGGCGCTTGCCCCGGACCCTCAGCAGCGCACTGAGGGCAGAGCAGGCTCTGCTCAGCATCGCCCCGATGGCGAAGGGGCTCAGCAGCTCCCACACCGAACCCTCCCCCACCTGCCCAGTGCCTTCCCTGTGCCCACGCTGCCCACGCTGGGGCTCTCTTCCAGCTCTGGCGTCCCCTGGGATGTGCAGGAGCTGCAGAGGAGCCCCGGGCTTACTTGTGGGAGGCGATGGCCTCGGTGAGCCCGTACAGGCTGTGCAGGTTGTAGTGGGAGGACAGGTACTGCTGGCTGGAGGCACAGATGGTCCCAGCTCGCAGACGCCCCCCAAACACACCTGTACAGGATGGGCCGTGGCAAAGGGCGAGTTCAGAGCCCACTCAGCTGGGACCGGAGTGTCCTCCGGGATCCTCCCGGCATCCCCACGGCCCCAGGTAGGGCTGGAACCCAATCCTGTACCTGGCACGTAGGGGGGCTGCTCCAGGTTGTTTTGGGGGCAGCCATCCTGGGAGCCCTCCACGAAGTTGGACGGCTCATTCATGTCCTGGGGAGCGAAAGGACGGGATGCCCTCTCTGCCACCCTGGGGCCCAGCAGAGGGGCAGAGAGGGAGCCAGGGAGCCGTAGCCGGCAGATTTGCCAGGGCCACTCACAAGCCACATGCCATCAAAAGGCACTTGGTCGTGGAAGTCCTTCACCATGTCGTGCCACCACTCGTGAGTCTCCGGATTGGTGAAGTCCGGGAAGACCGTTGGGCCCGGCCAGACCTGCGGGAGGGAGGCAGCAATGGGCAGAGCCCCCAGCCCCACACGCCACCCTGCCTTCCATCACAGCCACCCCCTGAGCATTTCCCTCCGGCCTTTGGGGTCCTGCTCGACCCCCCTCCTGCAGGGACCGGGGCTGCTCCCCACACCCACCTTCCCGACCAGGGGCTGCCCCGTGGCATTTCGGATGAACACCCCTCGCTTCAGTCCCTCGTCGTAGGGCTTGTAGGTGCCAGGGGGTCCTGAGCTGCTGATCCCGGCATCCTGGCAGGGCACAGAGCAGGGGCTTCACCAGCAAGGGCAGGGAACGGCCAGCCCTGCCTTCCTCAGAGGAAGCTCCATCACTGCCCTTGGGGCGGTGCAGCCCCGGTGCCGGCCCACCCGTGTGGGGTGTCACTCACCACGATCATGATGTATCTCAGCCCGCAGCGGTGGAAGTCCTGCACCATCTCTGGGTAGTCCTTAAAGCTTTTCTTGTTGAAGGTGAAATCCCTCTTGGCATCTGCGTAATCCAGGTCATTCCACTGGACATCCTGTGAATGGTGACACGGGTGGAGCAGGGACTCCTGCGCAGTGCCGTGGGACCCCCGCCCACGGAGCTCCCATCAACCCCCCTGTGGCCACCGTGGGACAGGGATTAGCCCAGACCTACCAGGGGGAAGCGGGCTGCTGTCATGTTGGCCACAACCTGCCGGGTGATGTCGGTGGATGAGTAGCCCCAGCGGCAGAGGTGGAAGCCCAGGCCCCAGTACGGGGGCATGAAAGGGAACCCTGGAAGTGGGAGGGTGGGTGCTGGCAGGGATGGCCCAGCATCACGCTGCTCCACAGCCCCACTCTGCCATGCCAGCTCTGCCACACTGCTCACAGCGCCCACGGCCCCACTCGTGGCTCGCCCGTACCGACGACAGCCAGGTACTGCCGCACCACGCTCTTGGGGTCGGGGCCCAGGAAGATGTAGAAGTCCAGGATCCCGCCCGTCGTGCGCCAGGTCAGGGCCGGGCTGGGCTGCAGGAGCACGTCTGGGGAAGCACAAGTGCCAGAGGAAGAAGAAGCTGAGGACAGGGACAGGGCCAAGCCCACGCCCGGCATCTCCACGGGACTCACCCATCGCGTTGCTGTTCAGCAGAAAGACCCCGTGGGCTGAACCGTCCTCCTCCATCACCAGGTAGAAAGGATGGGAGCCGTAGAGGTTGACCTGGGGCTGGAGCAGAGCATGGTGTGGTGCCAGCGAGGCTCTGCTGGAGACCCTGGCACCCACCCACCCACCCCTCACCTCCAGCCAGGAGGGTGCAAACCCAGGGCTTGTGGCACCAAACACCGCTGAGTCAGCAGAGCTCTGCCCTGAGCAAGAGCCCGGGAGTGCCAGGGAGGGGAACAGCTCCTGAGCAGCACAGAGCCCCAGGGGACAAAGCCTGGCCTGGGGACAACGGTCCCATGGGCTTGTGTGGGGCTGAGGCCAGGTCCCAGAGCTGAATCAGCACAGACACCCCTCCCCAGCCCCAGACTAGATGTGAGAGGCTGCGGGGCCACCCTCACAAGGCCAGATGAGCATCCTCACTCCCCTCAGCCCTGCTCCGTACCGCAGGCGCCATGTCCCGGTTCCAGAGGGTGACCCTGGTCCATGATGTGTTGAGGACCAGAGGCGTCAGGTGCTCCCCCAGCCCAGAAATGAAATGGGAGGGCAGAGAGGTGGAGATCTGCAGGAACTGGTCTGCGAAGAAGAGCGGGGCGACGGTGGTGTTCAACCTGCAGGGAAAGGGAGGCTCTGGCAAACAGCCGGGAGGAGGGAGACACACCGAGCTGGGAGCCCCCAGCATTGGGGAGGGATACGGATGCTCATCACCACGTGCAACAAAACTTTTCAGCTGAACTCTGGGATTCCCGGTTCCCTTCTCAGCCACCGAACTGCAGAGGGCGTCAAAGCCAAGCCCGCACAGCCACCAACTGCCGCCCACGACTGTCACCAGTGTCTCCTGCCATCACCAGTGTCCCCTGCCACACCCCTGCTCCCGGCCCGTGCACTGCGTGGGGTCCCCCTTCCAGCCTGAATCCCTCGGGAAGGCCAGGGGGGCAGGACGGGCACTCACAGGACTCTCCCTCCGCGCCGCCGGCACACGACGAGCCCGAAGGGGTCCTGGTTGACCCGCAGCCCGTAGAGCGTGGAGGGGGCTGCGCCGCCCACCCGCGGCGTGTCCAGCGGCACCTCATAGCGCGGCCGGGCCGGGTCCCGCAGCTGCGGGGACACGGCGGGGTCAGCGCGGGGCGGCCCCGCCGGGCCCGGGGCGGGGGCCGGGGCGCACCGTGAAGCGCAGGCGGGCGGGGGTCTCCAGGGCCAGGTCCAGCCGCAGCTCGTCCAGCGCTGCCGGCAGGAAGGCGGCGGCCACGCGGCGCAGCCGGGCCGTGAAGCCGCGGGCCGTGGCCGTCAGGTTCTCGGCGCGGTAGCTGCGGTACCCGCGGGGGAAGAAGCACCAGGGCGGGCCGGGGCCGGGCTCGGGGCTGTAGCAGCAGCCCCGCGCCTCGCAGCCCGCCCGCGACAGCAGCCGCTCGGGGCCGCAGTCGAAGCGGCCGCCCGGGGGAACCTGGCAGGCGGCGGGGTCGGGGCCGGCCCGGGCCGCGGCGGGGACGAGCAGCGCCAGCAGCGCGGCCGCCACCCCCGGGCCCATCGCCCCGGGCTCCCGGCACTGCGGCGGCACCGGCGACAGCCCCGCGGGGACCGACCCGACCCGGCCTCGCTGCAGCAGGACGGGCAGCAGGACCCGCGGTCCCCCCGGAAAGGCGGGGACGCACCGGGGACACCCCGGCCCCCGCCCCGGGGCGGGACAGAGAGGCGGGACCCGGGAACGGCCTGGGGCAGCCGGAGTGAAATGTAAACAGAAACGTACCCAAAAAATCGCCATGGTACATGTTAAATAAACATTATACCCTATGAGACAGATATTATACCCTACACCTGTTTGTTTTTTATATGTATTTATTTACCAAGTCTGCAGCGGGTAGATAAATTAAAACAGATACTGCATGTCTCTTCTCTGTTTCTGTCAGGCTTTCTCCGACCCCAGCCTGGATGCCAAGCACTGGCTGAGCCACTGGAGAGCCCTCTGGTGCCGGGGGTGTTCCTCCCGGATCCGCTGGACGATGGTGTTAATGGTCTCGAGCCGCACCCGCAGTTTCTCCTGCTGGTTCCTGCAGGCCTCTTCTGTGCAGCCCGAGGCCCGGTACTTCCCTTCCTTCAGTGCCTGCAGATGCTTCTGGTGCGCCTGGTGGGCCACAAGCTCCAACAGGTTCTGAAAAGCAACAGGGGGAAGGGCTGTGAGAGCAGGAAAGATGCACACAGGGAAGAGCCATGGCATCGGTGTGACTTGTGTCAGGTGCCATGGTGACCCTGTTTGACAAGGGAAGGACAGTGCTCTGAATTCCCCATCACAACAGCCAAACACCACCTCCATCCCGAGTGTTGTAGGGGTACAGACAACACAGAATTCCATAAATCAGAAAAATTCCCATGCCTACAAGCCAACCCTTGCCAGGACAGGGTTTCAAGACCTCGAGCTGGCTCTGAGTACCCAGCTGGCACACACAAAGGGTGGTATTTCCACAATACAAATGAGGTCCTTCAGGCTGATGTTTCCAGATGAACGCAGCCTCGCCCTGAGTACAATGGCAGCATCGACTGAGGGCCACTGTGAGCCCCCAGAACGTGCCCAGTGAACATGCTGCTAAAATTCAACACTGAGCACACCCGGTCCAGGTGGTGCTGGACAGAGCTGGCAGCAGCAGGAAGCAGCAGGCTCTGTTTGTCTCATGTGCTGCAAGGGAGCAGATGCACTCACCCAGCGCTTCTCGTTCTGGAGACATTCCATGTCCAAGTCGAGGCCATCAGCCGTGGCCTGGAGTTTGCACAATTCCTGCTTCTTCTCCGAGAAGCTGGCCCTGAGGGACTCTTGGGTGTTCTCCAGGTCCAGGATGGCTTGGTTGCAGTTAAAAATGTTCTAGCAAATGGAAGAGAAGGAAATGACAGACTCCATTTCTTTAGTTCAGCTGCATTCCCGACTATCCTCCCAGAACTCCTTTGCTGGGTTTTTTTTTATGAAGGTCCAAAGCCCTCCCCTGTGCCCTGTGCACGGCCACCCCTGTGCCCACTGCTGCTCATCACAAGGCCAACACCAGCTGCGTGAGCTCCTGCAGCCCTGCTTGCCTTGCTCACCTCCTGGGCTTCCCTGATCTTCCTCCTCAGCTCCTGTTTCCTCTGGTGGAAGTCATTCTTGGAGCTGTGTTTCTTATCCATCTTGCTCTGAGCCTCTCCCCGAATCGCTATCATCTCTCTGCGAGAAACAGACGCCTCCATTTCCCGAACCACCTTCTCCTGCTGCTTCAGCAGCTGCCCATAGCGGACCTGCCGTTTGCCAAGACACAAACCAGGCTCAAAATACGGAATGTTTACCAATGGCACCCAGGGAGGTCGTCTGGGAGGCACATCCCACCAACATAAACCAGATACACATCACACGTGAGGGCCTGCAAGCCAAATTTGGTCCAAATCCAAACCTGGTTTGCTGTGTGTGGATCTGGATTGTCAGCTTATCCACAGCAATATTCCAGATGTTGCTCTGGATCTCATTAGCAAGGGCAGAAGCAGGAAAGCAGAAGCATCCCGAGAATGAAGGGGCAGAGCTGCTCTGCCAGGAGAGGGAACACTTTCCTAACCGGTGATTACGGTGATGCAATATTTAGTAATTAACATTTCTTTGCTTATTAATTGGGGTCACAGAATCAGGTGGCAGATACTGCAATTTAAATAGATTTCTTGGGAGTATCCAGACTCTGCTGAGCCTGGCACAGGGAACTCACAGGGAATGCAGGGTGCGTGGGATGTTGGATGTGCTCAGTTCAGTCAAGTTGCAGGGCGTTAAGAGTCCCAGCCTGGACACTGGAGATGCCACTACTCCAGCCTGTTTCTCCTCTCCTGCCTCATGTTTCAGCCACTCCAAAGCTGAGTACATTGCGTGGCTGCCCCTCCTCAGCCCTCTTTCCCAGTGCCTTACTTGCATCCTACGAATCTCTGCTTTCATGGCTTGTATTTCACCTTGTTCTGACCCAGAACTCGTTGCTTCTTTCATTTCTTTTGCCAGCTGGATCTTCTTCTCCCACAGCAGGATCTGATGCCTTCAGAGAAGAAAGGAAAGGGAAAGCCTTTGTAACCCACAGGGAGGATGATCTCTGCGCACCAGCAGTAGCACATGCCCAAGGTAATTCTGAACACAGAGCTGGCAGAAATCAAGGATGTGCACATGGGACACGGAAAAGGGCAACACAGAGCAGAGTGAAACCTGATAGAAAGCTCCCCAACTCAGAAAATGGGGTGATGACTGCAAAAACAAGCGTGCCCAGACAGGCAGGAACTGCTGGACCCCAATGCCCAGTGTAGCACAACCACTCCGATTTACTGGCAGAGTCTTCCCATACAGACTGGTAGCATCCAGCCCACACATGATGGAAGTGTTAAACATCCTTCCAGCTTGTGTTGGTTCCAGAGACAACTAAAGCACCTTTCAGTTTCTGTGTTTCAAACATTCATTAAAGTCCTTTCCCCTTCTTCAGGAAGGACAGAAGCACATTTGCTCGTGCTGGGTCAGTTTGGTGACTGGAGGAGAACAGGAACATGGACACAGACACACAGGATTGTGGCACTCTCTGGTACCTACTCTGCTTCCACTATGCTGTTCAGGAGCCTTTCCTTCTCCTCAGTCAGTTGACTGTACTTCTCCTGCATCTCCAAGGATTCTTTTTCTGCTGCCTACATTTGGGAAGCACAAAACAATACAGTGTTGTCAGGCTGAGAAGGTTTTCCAGGATCACTACATGCCCCTGATCTGCACAGAAGGTTGAGACCTGGGAATGAGGTGTCAGGCCTTGGTACCTTGAGGGAGTGCACAAACTCGTTCTCTGTGATCATGTTGGCATGTTGCAGCTCCTCAAAGCTGCTGTTGTTCTTCCTGATCAACACGTTCAGCTTTACCAAGTCATTGGACATGTCCTTCATGTGCCGTTCGATGTCCTTCTGTTCATTTGTTTCCTGCTGAATTTCATCTATGGGTGAACAGAAAAAAATCTTAGAATTCCCCTGAGCACTGGGTTGAACACAGACAAGGTGTGACAAACTGCTATCAGGCAGAGCCACCCATGTCCCCCATGTCCAGCCAAAATGTTTTCCCACAAGCCCAAAAACCAAACAAGGTTTTGAAGGAGACTCCTGTGGAAAAGAGTTGGTTTTGGCCAAGGGGCATGCTGTCATTGCTGGTGACATTAACCTACCCACCACTTGCAAACTTTAGTTAAGAAGTGTGACAGGTGACACTGTCACTCAGGGTCCGACTGTGTCGGGACAGCAGGATCAATCCTGACAGGAATAACGACGTGCAAACAGCACAGGTGCCACGCTCAGCCCCAGTGCAGTGCCAGGGTTGTTGGCACTCCTGCTCACACATATCCAGAGGCAGGTCCAGCTTTTCCCACTCCCTTTTTCCTCCCCTCCCGGGTGAGCACCGCAAGAAGCGCCAGGGAGTGACATACTCTCCATGCGCACTTTCCTCTGCTGCATCACGGTGATCTGCTTCTTCAGCGCATCCAGGGAGCTGATCTGTTCCTCCCGCTCCCGGGTTAACTTGACCAGCTCCCTCTGCTCGTTGAGCCAGTACTTCTGCAGTGTCATCACCTCACAATTGCATTCTTCTATCTCCTTGGTCAGCTTGTTGATCTCAATTTCCAGTGGTCCCAGCTCTTGCCCCTGTATGAGGACAAAGTTTGGGATAAATCAGGCAGATGCTGCTGGAGCTTGTTTACAGCATCTGGACATTCCAAAGTCTGCAGATAGGACTCGTTTCCACATCGGTATCCACACAGGTCTTACATTGCCAGGGACAGATCTGGGAATCACCTGAATGGGGCCAACCATCAAAGAACTGAATTGTCTCTGCCCGCTCCACACTCCCCTCATCAGTGTTTGCAGATTTTCTAACAAGATCCTATTTACTCCCAGACTACTGATGGCATTCGACATTTTCATCAGTTGCAGACAACTCCCTGCAGGAATCTGTGCCAGGCACACCCTCATTTTATAATTCCCTTCACGTGCATCAAGAACTGTCTGACAAACATAAACACCTGCATTAACTAGTGCAGCTTTTAAATCACAGTGCAGGTGCCTGAAAGTTTGAACTACCCAACACTTACACAAGGTATGCTTATCAGGGACATCTGTGGTCACCACAAAGAATAAAATCAAAATTAGGAGTGAAACACAAAAGTACCTACCCCCTGCTGAGCAAGAAGCATCTCCAGCTTCTTGTTGTACAGGCAGATGACCCCTCCCTTCTTATCAGCCAGGACCCTGCACTTTGCAATCTCGCTTTCCTGGCAGCTGATCATATCAGTGATATTTTTTATTTCCTTGTCCACCTCACAGAGTGTGTTCTGGAGGACTGTCAGACTGCAGTTGGTATTAGTTGCATTCAGGATAATCTGGGCCACATCGTTCTCAACCTTGTAAAAATGCAGCTCCTGGGAATTTCAAGAGAGGAAACACATCACTGTCACCAACAGCCACTCGTTCAGTTGTAGTGCCACTTACTTACCCCAGCACAGGAATCAGGGGACTGAGATTCTAATCCCAGCTTTGAACTACAAGCTGTAACCTACTTACCCTCTGTGTACCTTTGTTTCTCCATCAGTTGACAGGTAATACAATATTTACCTCTGCCACACAGCTGTTGAGAAGCATTAAGGAGACTAAAAATCCCCAAAACCTTCGAGTGACCTCACCCATCCCTCCTGCAATTCCCCCCATTCTCGTGTGTCCAGTTACCTGGCTAACAGTGGCAGGACATCACTGCACTGCACCTTCTCCACCACAGCTGGCACACACATCCCTCACCTCACAACAGCCCCACAGCTCAGTGTGAGACATGCTGGGCTCAGTCTTCTGGTTTTATTACCTGTACCAGTTCTACACTCTCAGAGCAACTTATGCCTTAAAGACCTGTGGGTTAGGCTGGACTGTTCCCTGGAATCAAGAGCTGTCTGCATCCCATTCTGTGATGGAGTACAGAGGTAAAAGTTAATGTGGAGTATAGAAGTACCTCATATCCACTGTCTCTCTCCAGTACATAAGAACTGCTAATCCTTTATAGTAAATACTCCCAGGATTCACCCCTCTGCCCCATTTTCTAAGTGAAGAACTCTGTGTTTTTTCAGGCCTTTTTGGCCAAACTCTCTCTCATACATCAGAATCCTGCAATAACATCACAAGGAGAACCAGACTGGAGACAAACTCAGCAGTCCTTCAACTGCAGACCTGAAACCAGAATGAAGTCACTGACAAACCCCCAGGAGAACCACTGCTCTGGGGTTCCCTGCCCTGCCAAGGGAAGGGGTGCCATACCAGGTCGGTTTTTCTCCTCCGCAGTTTTGCAGCCATCTGTGAGAAGTGCTTTGCAGCTTGGCTGGATATCATCTGGTCCTGAAGCTTTGCCATGATTTCATTCTCCATCTGCTCTTTGGCGTAAGTTCTCTTCTGTATATCCTTCCTGATGGATGCCAACTCATCCAGGTGAGCAGCTTGGTCCTAAAAGGTTGGAAGACAGAGACAGGATCACTACAACTGTTTGAGGAAGGGTATTAAATTCAAATATTTCAAAGGATGCATCTTCCATGGACTCTCCTCACCATCTTGGTCCTGATAAGGGCCTGCTCTGTCTCATGGAGAACACGAGTGTAGGTGGCAGTTTCCAGCTTCAGGGCCTCCTGCTGCAGCAGGCACTGGGCAATCAGCTTCTTTGTCACGTTGGCATCATTCTGAGACCGGTTCAGGATGGTGACAAGCAACTCATTCTTCTCCTCCTCCTTCCTGATGGACTTTCCACAGCCGTGGATGTTCCCTTCTAGGGCACTGAGGTCACGTCTGTAGTTGCTAGAGAGGCAAATAGGATGGAAAATCATCACAGAGATTGGTGCTGAGCAGCCACCTACAAATTCCTCTTTTCAAACACGTTATTGCACCAACAACTGCCCGAGAAGGACGATCTTTGTAAGGGCTCAGCTGCTGGGACAGTGCAGAGTCAGCAGGAGATGAATGGAGACATTAAGATTTAAAAGGAGATGTAAGTAGGGAAATGGATTCCTTCTTTCAGTACTGTCCCACCCCCTATTCCTTCCAGGATGTCACCATATAAAAGCAGATTGTTTGTTCTCAGACAATCAGTCAAGCTTTAAGGCTCCAGAGCAAATAAACACTTCCTTTGGCAACCACGGGGAGGCTTTCCTGAAGATTTCTAAAGGCCTCACAAAACCCTGATAGTGAGAAATAAATCCTTCCTGACATCTAACTCTTTGGAGTGGGAGGTGTTGTAAAGGTGAGGGAGCTCTTTTAAAGGAATGAAATATGAACAGAAAAATTCTGAACAGCTTCAAGAGCTGAACCTGACAGGAGACACACTGCCCCTTCTGGAATCCCTCCTGCCCAAATCATCCGAGGTTTCCCCAGGGCCTGGTTTCAGACCATACCTCAGCAGCTCCTGAGTGGCAACATAGGCCTCATCCCTTTGCTTCATTCCAGCCAAGCTGCTGTTCCAGTGGTTTATCAACCTCTTTTTCTCCATGTTAATAGCCTGGACCTCCAGGCCAGCCTGGGGAACAGAGAGTTGGCAGACAGCATGAATCTACACTGCGTTGGAAAACCAAATTCATGTTACAGTGCAATTTATTTTCTTCTGTTTGTAATATGCTGAGCAGGAACAGCTTGAACTACTGTGGCTGGTTCATTGTCACAGCAGACCAGAGAGCACAGGTCTGCAAGAAAAAACTGCTGAGAAGGGGAGGAGGAAGTGATTTACAGGCAATTCTTAAGGACAAAGGAAAAGAAAAAAAGTCTTCATTCCTCCAAACAGGAACAAAACATGCAACTCTGGCCCGCATTGTACACACCACGTGAGGGCAGGTCAGAGGGGTTAGTCCGGCCAGAGGGAAATGTTAACCAGATAGGAAGAGCCCCCTCCTACCTCAGTGACTGCCTGCCGGGTCACTTTTGTGTCCTCTGCCTGGGCCACAAGCTGAGCTTCAAACAGAGCAATTTGTTCCTGGAGCTCGTAGGCTCTCCTTGTTAACTGGTCTAGGAGAAGGTCCTACGGAGTCAGAGCCAAAATGTTCAGGGTGAGTGATGTACTCATACAACTGTATCCTACATGAATAACATCAGCTAGAAAAAGTTAAATTGGCAACTGGATCAGATTTGATTCCTACTGCAACTTTCCCATTCACACACAAAGGACTCAAGATTGCAGCAGGGACAACTTGTAAGAGAATGAAACCTTTGCTGATTGTTATTATTCCAGTTGCAGCAGTAAATTGATAATTCAGCTCTGAAGCAGCATTCCCTCCTGTCAGCATGGATTACACTGTGCCACTTCTCCAGATGCTGCGAACTTTAACAACGTATATTCGAAAATCCTTTGTTAAAAACCTCCTAAACCCATTGTATTTTAACAGTTTGCATGGAATTCTGCACTGGTAATACCCAGTCTGTGTCCTGGAAGGCAGCAGAGGGAGCTCCAGCACCGACCAGCTCTGCTCATTCCCCAAGTTCACTTTCCATTGTGAAATTTGCTGTGACTCACAATAATTCTTGAGACCTGAACATATGATATTTCTTCACTAAATATCTTCCTTCCCCCACACCCCTCTTGCTTGACTGAAGAGTGATTTACTGTCCTAAGGCTTGCCCAATCCTCAGGGCAGTAAGTGCTGCTGTCTGGGGGGAGGCAGGGGTTCTTCTCCTTTTTAGAAAAGCCTCTGTGCTTTTTGGATTTTTTTTATTATTGGGGAAAAATATCCCCATGCATCTTCCATGACTCCATCACTCCAGCCTTCCTTCTGACAAGGCAGCACATCCTCCAAGGCTCACCACTAACTGTCACCTGTATTTATTTTTTTAAAGACAGTTTTACTTGGTACCTGTTTCTTCTTTTCCACCTCAGCCTGGAACTTCTCTGCCTCAGCCTTCTTTGCTGACCGTTTCATCAGTAAGATCTTGTGATGCATGTCCTGGTCCATGTTCTGCAGGTAGAAGAGCTGCAAGGCCAGGTTTTCAATCTGGGTCTGCATTGCAGAAACTGGGGCGGGGGGAGGAGGGCAAATAGTTACAGAGAAGTTTGTTTGTAGGATACACCTTAAACAGAGATAGAAGGGAAAGAAACTCAGAAGCTCCCAAAGCAAAACCTCTCACACACCAGCTACATCAGCCCTCCCCAGCGTAAGAATTTACATCAGCTTTGGAGTAAAGCTCCACAAGCAAAGCTAAAAATCCTGGTAAGCAATTCCTTGATTCCCAGCACACAGAATTCCGGGAGCATCTGTGAAACTTTCTGGTGAGCGCATTATTCCCGGTTAATTTTACCGTATCTTTCAATCCAAAAGAATTTCTCCACACAGCCCCAGAATTAGGAAACACTGCCAGCACTGCCTCAGCCACCTTTCTTGCGTTCATCCTCTGTGTTGTGGTGCGTGTCCTTGTAAGCATCCCTGAGGCCCTGCAGTTCCTCCTCCAGCTGCTGCCGCGCCGCGGCTGCCCGGGAATGGCGCTCGTAGCTCTTCCCCAGTTCCACCTGCAGCTGGGCCAGCTGCTGCTGGGCTCCATAGAGGACCACCCCGAGCTCTTCCCTCTGCACTTTGCTGTCCTCGGTTGCTGTCCTCTGCAGACACAAGAGGTGATGAGCTGTCCCACGGCAGCTCGGACAGCAGGGGCTGTGGGAAGGCAAAGGAGAGGCCGTGTACCAGCTCATGCAGGTCGAGGTTCACTTGTTCCATCTGCTTAGTGATGTAATTCTTCAGGGCAGCCTGGAATCTTCTCATCAGGGGCTGCAAAGAAGGATGGCATTCAGAAATTTTAACACACTTGTGTAAATAAATTACGAGGAAGCCTCGCTGCTACTCCCCCCATTAAATAAAACATCTCATTTCTGCCATAGACACCTGAGTTCTTATTTAGCTACACTTGCTGTAGCGAGCGAAAGGAGTTACATAGTGGGTATTTGGTGATGTCAAAAAGTGACTAGTGAGAATATTTGAAACACGTCAGAAGAGCTACCTCTGAGACCCCCCCACTCACTCCTGCTGCAAGGACTTCTCTGTCAGGGGCCTTGAGGAGCACCAGGTTTACCCACTGCCCTGCTCACTTCTGAACCTGCAGCTCTGGGGTTGGCACTGAAGGAGTCAACACTTTGGCAGAAGTGATTTTCAAACGTGCAGTTCAGCAAACAGCTGAACATTCACCACCACATTTTAGACAAGCAAAATCACCAAGTCCGCAAAGAACAACGACAAGATTTGAGGAGTTCTCACGTGTTCTGGATCCAGGACCATCAGTCTTGTTTCTTCTGCTGTTTCCTCACCACTTCTGCTTATTTCGTGTTCCTTGGATCCATGCTGCTGGAGTTCCTTTTCCCATCTTCGGTCACCATGCTCAGTAGGGAGTGAAATGGGGTCTCCCATGTTCCCTGGACCCCAACCCCCCCCGAAAAAAAAAAAAAGATAAGGAAATAGGATTAGATTTCATTGCATTGTGCCTCCAGTTGGATTAACAATGACCAGAGAGGGAGAAGAGGGTCAGGTGCTGCTGTGCTGATACCTGGCTCTGTGCCGGGGTCCGGCTCTGCTGCCGATGCTCCTGAGGGAAGGGAAGGAGCTCCTCTGCCTGGTACTGGCTGCTCCATGTCACCCTGTTCAGGAGGACAACTGTCACCCTCTACATTGTCCTACAAAGTCTCAGGAGATTTTTCCTGAAACATAAAATCCATCATCTGAAACGGCTTTTCCATCTACCTCTATTTACCCCTAAAAATGTGCTTATTTTTGTCACCATGAGACACGAGCGATGCAGACAAAGGATCAACAGGAGGGCCTGGCTCTAAAACCAGCACAGAGACAGTGGCAAAGCTGTGTCAGCCCTGATTTAAAAAAACACCTCACACGTACACAGCACAGCAACAGGACCTCTCTGGTTCTGTCAGAGCGAATGCACACGTTGTGCTTGACCCACAGGCTTCTCTCTGTTCCAGTCCTGGTTGGTTTTGTGTTTGCAGCAATAAAACTGCACCAGGAGAATGTGCAGCTGCAAACACTGCTCAGGCATTCTGGGAATCACAGAATCATCGAATGGTTTGGGTTGGAAGGGACCTTAAAGTCCATCTCATTCCACCCCTGCCATGAGCAGGGACACCTTCCACTATCCCAGATTGCTCCAAGCCCCGTCCAGCCTGGCCTTGGACACTTCCAGGGATGGGCAGCCACATTACCAATAAGATTATGTATATAATTATGGTGTCCCACTCCTGTCCGTGACCAGCTCTGTAACCCCACAGACCTCTCTTCGGGGAGAAATGACTCTTCTTGCTCCTCCAGAAGAACAGACTCTCCCTCTCCACTGTCATTCCCATTCTCTGCTTCCACGGCCTGGCACACAGCACAGGTGGAAAGCAGAACGGCAGATTATCATTTACATTTAATGTCAATGCTATGGTATTTTTTGCCATAGGGCACAGAAAGTTTAATTTAGAAGTTTAATCTCATTTGCAAAATCAGTCACCCAGCAAGCACTGACATAGCAAAGATCCCGACAAAAATCCTCCCGGTCTCTGTCGAGGTGGTACTGCCAGTGCCGGTCCCTATCCCTGTCCCTGTCCCTGTCCCGGTCCCTGTCCCGGTGCCGGTCCCGCCTCACCCTCGCCGGCTCCGCCATGTTCCCGTTACCAAGCGACGCGTCAACACCCGCTCACGTGACCGCCCGGGCCGCACCACCGCGGCCCGCGGGGGGGGAGGCCCGGGGGGCTCCGGGGCCGAACCATCCCCGGCGCGGGGGGCGGGCCGCGCTCGGTGCTGCCCGCGGGTCCCGGTCCGGGCGGTGCCGGTGTCGGTGTCGGTGCCGGTGTCAGTGCCGGTGCCGGGAGGTGCCGGCCCCGGGAAGTTCCTCCGCGCCCTCCCCGGCCGGGCAGCCCCGGGGCGGGCGGGGCGCTGGGCGGGCACGGCCCCTCGCAGGGCCGGGAGCGGCGGCGGCTCCGAGCCCGGCCGGGCCGGGCAGCGCCGGGAGCTCCCCGGGTTCGTCTGTGCCGGTAAAGCGGGGCCGGGCCGGGGGCGGTGGGAGGGGTGAGGGGGCCGGGGGACACTCAGCGCTGCCCCGGCACCCCCGGGGTCGGCACCTGGGCGGTGCATCCCGGCGTTATCCCGCTCTTTGTGCGCCCTCCCCGCCCCGCAGCCCCGCGCAGAGCGGCGGGAGCGGGCGGGATGATGCCCTGGGAGGGCTGCGACGATGCCCGAGGAAGGCTGGGATGATGCCCTGGGGACCGGGATGCTGCCCGGGAGGACGGGATGCTTCCCGTGGGGATTGCTGGAAAGCGAAATAGTTCTTAAACTTTATCTCCTGTTATTTCCGAGCGTATTTCTGTGGTTTCCTTCCTTTTACGGAGCTGGTCTTCTCGCAGGTGACCCCAGTACCGACCTGAGCTCTGTTACCAGCGGAGGAGGTGGAGGGGGGTCCCTTGGCAGTGGTTTGATGCGTGGCCTTGGGATGCTCCAGGCAGGGATTGCCAGGTGCTGGATTGCTCGCTGTGCTGCTGACACTCCGTAAAATAACTCTGCTGCTTCCTCTGGGAGATCTGTCTGTCTTTTGGATCTCAGGCTGGGAGCTTGACTTGCAGAAATGTTTTGTTCTTAGTTGCCACTCAGAATAGGAAGAAAAATGAAGGATCTTTTAAGAGAAAACAGTAGAAATGTGAAGACAGGACAACTCAGGGTAAGGATCTCAAACTTGGCTGCTTCTTTTGTTGAAGACGCTTTTTTGTAGGAGCTCACTCATGTCCTGATGATGACTGGGGTAAAAGTCTCTAAAAGCTTTTCTGTGTTGAATTTGGAGGATATCTGTGTTTGTTCTGAGTGTGTAGGTAGTGTGAAGTTGGAGAGCCGGGATGGGGCAGAGCAGGGCTGTCTCAGTCCATCAGGAAGGGAGGGAAGGGGACTGCCAGAGTGTCCGAGTGACAGAGACATGTGGTCTGATGTCTGTAATACCAAGAAAGACTTTTTAGTTCATCTTCCAAGTAGTTCATCCATTCTGCTGTGAATCCAGGCTCCTGGGGTTTTTAGATCCTGACATTCCGGGATCAAGTCCTGTGCGCGTTATCAGGCCTTGGCTCCAGGACGTTGGAAATAAAAGGCCATAAAAGTGTTACCTGTGGCACGAGCAGTGCAGATAAGGGACATGAAATGCTGGTTAATCTGGGATGGAGGGACATGTGGCACACAGAACTTCTGGGTGCTGCTGCAGGTGAGTTTGGTGCCAGGGTGGGGGGTGGTGAGTGTTTTGTTTGCTTTCTGCTGGCTTTCTGATGCCTGAGCAGGTGTGGCTGGGAGCAGCTGCAGGCTCTGGTAGAGCATTCATTCCCTTTTCCTTTTTATTTCTGAGTCACAGACTTGCAGAATTCAGTTCCCTCTGCTCTGTGCTCAGTGAGCTGCTTCTGCTCTGGCAGGGCAGCAATGAAGGACTTTTTGGTGACCTACATAATTCTCCCCATGAGATGGGATGACTTCAGATTGGCTCCCTACGGTAAATCTTCTGCCTTGATTTGGCTGGGTCCTCTTAACTGGCTCCAGCAAATAGCAAGGAGTTTGGAAAGCCCTTTTCTTTTTTATTCCCTAATGTTGATGTATTGCAATACAGAGGGAAGGTCGTACAAGAGCTCTCATGTATCTGTGGAGGAGTAGAGATCAAGTGGGTGACCAGCTGAGAGTGGCACAGAAAATCTACTCCAAGGGCTGGAAGGAAGCTGCGAGTCCTGACTCTGGGCCACCATACTCTGTCTCCAGTCACACTCTGTGACCTCTGCTTGAGAGCTCCAAACCCAGCCTTTGCTTTTCCCGAGAGGGTAAAGAGACAGGAACTTGTGCAGTGTCTGAGCCCCCTCACTGCAGTGGCTCTGCACTTCTTAAATATGTAAACTTAAATTTATTGGGGCAAAACAGAACAAGGGCCTGTTGCTCTTTGCTCGCCAAAGACATTTCGTGTTAAACTGTGGTGCTGCTGTTTGACAGCTCGTGTTTCTCCGCCGTGCCCAGACACGCTGCAAGTCTCACGTTTCACTTCCAGAGCCCCGTAGCTCGGCTTATGTTGCTTGTAAAGCTCTTGAAGTCTTGCCCAGCAAATGCGCCCTGGGAGCCACGAGCCTGCACGGAGGGCTCGGCCGTGGGACCTGTGGGCTGCAGGAGCACTGGGACACCTCTGCAGGCTGGACTCATCTGGGAGAGGAGCCTTGGTGCTGCGTGCTCCTGGTGCTGAGCTGGGGCTGTCAGCCCGTGCCAGAGCCCGGCACTGCCCTCCCCTGCCAGGATACGGGAATCCTGTGCAACCGGAGGCAGCAGCATTTGGTCCAGCAGCGCGTGCCAAGGTGAGGTGTGATCTGCCAAGGCAAACAGCGTTCTGCTGATGGGCTGGGAGGATGGGAAGGGCATCTCTGCGGGAGGCGAGCAGCCGGTGCCGTTCTGGAGGCTGCTGGCTGCAACTGGTCAGGCTCTTGGGAAGAGGCTCCCGGGGGATTTCAGGAGTTGGCTCCCCATCACTTTTTCACTCATGTAGCTGAGAAGTGCTGGCACTGCCTGGGAGAGCAGCCAGGGCTGTGTGAACAGACTCAGGAGCTGCAGCGAAGATTTTTAGTGGCAACAGTTGATGTGTGGGAGAAGAAAACGTGTGTGTGCTTAATAAATATTGGCACTCAGCAAGAGCTTATCGGCTAACTCAGTGCTTCAGCTTCTGGAGAGCTGGGCTGGCTCTGCCACACTGAGAAGAATCCCTTCAGATCGGTGGATAAATATGAAATTCATATGAAAAATGGGGTTTTTTTGAATGGTGCTGATTTACTGCTGCCTGAGCTGTGGGACAGTTCCTGCTGCCTTCCCAAGCTCACACAGGAGGCAGCAGCAGTACCTGCTCTCCCCACTTCCCAGGCCCACAGACTGTGTGCAGACATTGGCCCACACAGAAAAGGGCTGATAACAGAGCAAACCCTGCGGGTTCGGTGTCTTTGTTATTTGCTGGATTGTGTTGTATGAACTCCTGTCTTTTAGGAAGGAGAGGCACGTTCCTAAGCGGAGTTTCAGAGACTTTTGGGGTTGTACCAGTAGACCAGATGGCCTTCAGAGGTGCAGTCCATCACCTGGGCTTCGCTGGGACTGGCTGTGTATCTATTTCTGCAGTCTTTGAGACCCCAGTGATGGAAACGGCCCCTTGAGGTTGCCCTGTTCTGGTGCACCATTGTCCCTGCTACTAGAATGACAAAACTGGGGAGTCCTTGCCACAGTTCAACTGCCTTTCAACTTCTCCTGACCTCCACTGGCAGCTCTTCCATTCTTTGGCAGTGACAGTTCCCACGTGTGAAGACTTCTAATACATTTCCCTCACTTAAATCTTCCCTTGGCAGTCTCTTTCCATGGACCAGATCACTCTTGTCACCCTCCCTGAAACTGTCCAGTGACTTAAATCTATTTTTCTTTAATCCTGCAACCAAAACTTCACAGAATTGCCTGGCCTGCAGCAGTAGTGAAAGGACTGATTGATTTTGCTGGTGATATTTATGTACCCCAATGTGTTTGGTTGCTGTCTGCAGCACTGCAGTAGTCTCTGGTTTCTGATATGTAGCTCTTCTGCAAGACAAGTCCAACAGAGTAAATTTCTGAGCTGGCAGGACACTGTATTCCTCACCTTTTGTCCTTTTGTTTGGTTTCCCCCTCCCAGCCCGGTGTGCCTGTGTGTACCTGTAGCGCCGTCCACCTGCACATCCAGACAGTGCTGAAGCAACAGGTGTTCTGCAGGATCAAAGCAATGTTTCCCTTTAAATTCCTCCGGCGTTCCGGGCAGCAGCTTTTGATCTTTACGTGTTTCTTTGTTCTTTCTGTGCCAGGTAAAAGCTCATTAAATGGTGCCTCTGTTGGCAGAGGTGTCCTGCAGCTCCACCCGCCTTCCTGAGAGCCCCGGAGAGCTGCAGCAGGACATCACAGGGCTCTGGTTTCAATGTGCTTCTCCATCTCCTGCCCTTGGTAGGAGGAGCTGCCTCGTGTTTCCTGAGGAAGCATTCCCTGGCCAGCAGCAGCATCCAGCTGGTGCCACCTTCCCCCTGTGTGTGCACAGGTCTTTAGCGTCCTGATGAAATCGCTGACGTAGCTGAAGGTCTGGACAGCAGGGCTGGTTTCAGCATTGACAGCTGGGCACTCTGTGCTGCCTACCAAGTGTTGTGGTGACAGATGCCCCTGCTCAGGTGTGCTGGAGGCTCAGGTTGCTCCCCATCGCTGCTCCAGCCCCCTGACATTGTATGGAAATGGCCTGTTGTAACTCGCTGTGGGGAGGGAGCAGTTGCAGCAGAATTTACTGTCTGTTCTTGCAGGTTGCAATGAGGGGAAAGGTGATTTGTTCTTTAAATGTGGTTGAGCAAATGACTTTCTCCTTGGTGCAACCCAGCCTGAAACTGGGGTTAGGCAATGTGGAAAAGAACAAGCACAGAGCTCCACTGTGTTTGGATTTTGGGGCTGAGACAGGAGGATACGTGTTGTGTTTGGTGCTGGAAGGAGACAGGAGTGTGCAGGACTTGCAAGGTGATCCTCTTATCCTGAACACTTGCTGGTACAGAGCAGGGTTGAGGCTTCTCCATCCAGCCCCAGCAAAGACTGAAACGCCTGTGCTGTGATTCAAGCTGACAAATGTGGTGATTGCCAGTTAAACCAATAGTTTGTCCTTTAATGAAGGCTCTGTCAGTGACTTGGCATTCTCATTTGCAGTCTTCTGTATGTACCAATCTGTCAGAATCAGGACAGCCATTTCCCTTCCCTGCAGCCCTCACTCTGCTCTTAAGAAATGCCAGTTTCTGTTTGCCCTTTGTGCCTCCTCCCCACCTCAGCTGGCTGGAGATACCATCAAAACCAGGTTAAGGAAATGGAAGCTGTTCCATGTCTCAGGATGCTTGCCTTGGGCCATGAGTATTTCCTCAGGAGATGCCCCTGATAGTCCAGGTCAGGGCCTGTCTGTTTTATCTCTCTCTCTGGCTCTCCCTGGCCGTGCCCGTGGTGTGGGACTGGCCCCAAGGAACACCCTGGGCTGATCTCCCCACGTGCCACTCTGGCCCTGGAGCGTGGCCATGTGCGGGGTGTGCTAGGTCAGCCTGGCCTGTTCACAGCAAGGTGGGCCATGCAAACACAAAGGAACAAAAGCAGGTGTTTCCTCTCCTTGTGTGCTTTTGGCAGAGCAGAAACTGCCGTGGCTCTGGTGCTTCCCAGCTGGGGATGGCAGAGGGAGCCTGCGCTGCACCCAGGGGTGTCTGGGTGGCACGTGCTCTGCTGTTGTTAAATCAGTTCTAACACTGCTTTTCCCCCCTTGTTGGCAGATCTCCTGAATTGGCTGCTGACTAGAGCTGACAGATAATGGAAACATTTCCTTGGCGATGTCTCTGGGGCGACTCCTCCGACGTGCCTCGTCCAAAGCCTCCGACCTCCTGACCCTGAATCCCGGTGACGGTGGCAGCTCATCTTCTGTGCTTGATGGGGAGATTATCTACTCCAAGAACAATGTCTGTGTCCACCCCCCTGAGCTGCTCCAAGGCATCGGGGAGCACCATCCAGGTGATGGGGTGTTGCAGACACTGCCCACTCTCCTCTTCTCTCTCCTGGCAGGTGTTTCTATCAAATTCTATATCTTGGGCTCTGATGAATGAAGAGGTGCCAGTGAGGGCCAGGGCCAGACAGTCTTGTGGAAGACTAAGGAAAGCCATCCACAAGCTGAGCCATCAGCTGATCCATCTTCTTTTAGTAGGAAAATTGATTCTACCTTTCTTTTCTGGTCCGGCATGGATTTACCTGGTTTAATAAGTCCTTTTGTACTGCTGGACAGTTGTCCTTTGAGGACAGTAACTTCTGTTGCTCATTCCAGTCTGAATTGTTCAGGAAATCCAAGTATCCTCCTGTAACTGTCATTGCTGGAGTGGCCTCAGCAACCACTGGTAAAGGGAAGGGCAAGAAAACCTGATTGTGGCTGCGTGCACTGGAGTAAATGAAGATAAATCCTGCTCTGTCCCTTTTTTCTCATCTGCTCCTCCTGCACTCTTTCATGTTCTCATCAAAGAGCTGTGGCTCCTGGCTCAGCTTCACAAAACAAATTACTCTGTGAACATTGACCCTTGCTTCCCTTTATGTGTGGGTGACTCCTTTTTCCATTGGTTTTCCATGAAAATAGTAGCCCTTTAGCTACACTTAAGTAAATATTCTTGAGAAATCAATGTTCAGCTGTCACTTGAAATTGTTTAACTAAGAAACAGTAGAAGTTTTACATGTGACAACGTATTTCACAATTTACTCTTGATTAGTAATCCATCCAGGAAGTCCAAGTGTTTGCATGGCATTCCTCTGTCCACTTAGGCCAGAGGGAATTTAGACTGTTCAAAAGCCATATGCAGACTTGAAATGATTTGCAAATACTGAATAATACTGAGCAATCCACAATTTTCTCTTGGTAAATTCTAAGGGTTTGTTTCCCCCATGTGTAAGTGATGGTGAAGTGGGGGGAGTCTCAGGATGGGAGAGACCTTAAAGGTCATCTCATTCCACCCCACTGCCATGGGCAGGGACACCTTCCACTAGACCAGGTTGCTCAGAGCTCCATCCAACCTGGCCTTGGACACTTCCAGGGATGGGGAGACAGGGAAAGGGAAATGTCAGGGTTGTGCAGTTCCCGTAGAACAAATCTGCCTCACAACTGATTGCTCCTGTGCTCTCTCTCAGGCTACCTGTGCTTGTACATGGAGAAGGATGAGCTCCTGGGGACCACGCTGATCCTGGCCTGGGTGCCCAACTCCCGCATCCAGAGGCAGGATGAGGAAGCCCTGCGCTACATCACCCCCGAGAGCTCCCCTGTGCGCAAAGCCGCGCGGAAACGCGGCCGCCACGCTCAGGGCCTCGGCCTTGCCTTGCCCCCCGAGCACAGGGGGGCCCTGATCCTCAGGGGAGACGAGATCCTGGCCGTGCCACAGCCTGCCAGAGATGGGCCCCATGCCAGTCCCCCGTCCTCAGAGGGGGAGAGGCTGTCCCAGGGCTGCGCCCGCCGGTCCCCTCAGCCCCCCCGCAGCGACTCAGGGATCCTGTGCACGGGCGGCTCCCAGGAGGAGCAGAACAGGTCGGAGCTGTCGGTGGAGGGCACGGAGGAGGGGCTGGACTGCCGTGAGGACGAGGGCTCCTTGGAGCTGTCTGCTGATGATGTGAGCAGGGACAGCACTTTTGACTCTGATTCCGATGCCTTCTCCTCCCCCTTCTGCCTCTCTCCCATCAGTGAAGCCCTTGGGAAAAGCAGCAGTTCCGTGTTTCTGGACAGTGAAAGCAGGTGAGTGCATCCTTTCTCTAGTTTCTGGGTGAGCAGCTGGGTGCTGAGCTTGGAGATGCTGAAGGAGATTGTGAAACTTCACAGTGGCATCAAGCAGAATGTCTTGCTTCAGACTCCTGTGGAATTTACAGGAAACTGTTTGCCTGCCAGTTCTGCTTTTGCTCGGTGAACCCTGGCCCCAGACATCCAGGGCTCTCCATGTACAGTCTTTGGGATGAAGTGTCTTGGGCCCTGGAAGCAGCATTGCTAAATTAAACAGGTCCTTGGCCTAATTGGCTCTGCTGAGGAGCTGAGCTCATTGCTTCTCGTGCAGAGCCACATCAAAGAGCCCGTGTGACTTCCTGAGCTGGGGATGCCTCTCCAGACCCCTTCTTGACACGAAACCTGTGTGTGGCAGCTTGTTTTGCTGCTGTTCAGAACATGGTCCCACTTCAGACATAGAAATATTAATTCTTGTGTATCTAACCTGCATATTTTTGTCACTGCTTCTCAATGGCACCTGCAGGGTAAGAGGGCACCTTGGCAGAGGAATAACGCGCAGGAGGACGCCTGTGTAACTCACTGTTTTCATACCCAGTGGTTGTGGCTTTCTGATCTGTGCCCTGTTGGTGTATCACTCGTTCCCATCTCGGGGAGGACAGCTGTGTTCCTGAAGCACTCTGGGGCTGATTTTTAGGCTACAGCTCAATTTTGAAACTCCGCCTGAAATGAGGGGGAAGGAGTTCTCCTTTGTGCATGTCAGCAATGCACAGGCTGCACTGAGACCTGCCAATTGAAGCCATTTGGCCTCTTTATTTTGCAGGCTCTCAAGCCCAGAGAATGCCAGTAAGAACAAGGTTTGTGAGGAAATATTCTAATGGATTCAACTCTCTCTGGATATTTTAAAACCCCTCAGTGTGGTGATGTCAGACTTTGTATCAGCTTTGCATTCAAGATGTGCCCCAGCAGGATGCTGCTGATTAACTGTGAGCCAGGGGCTTTACTGGTCTGGAGCTCTGCAGCACCTGGGCAGTGGGTTGAGTGGTCATTGTCCCATCCCATTCCATCCCATCCCACCACAGCCTCCCCTCTGGCTCCTGAGGGGCTGTGGGCTGCCCAGAATGGGCCTTTGATTTCCTTACTGTGTGAACAACATCAGTTTGACAGCGTCTCTTTTAGCTTTCCAAATATGATTCCTGCCAGTCTTCTGTGGCAAGTATTCACAGTAGTGTAGAAGACTTTGGAAGCTACAGAAGTGTCATGAAGCACACCTTGGAAAAAGTCTATAGGGGTCTTTGAATGATTAAGTGTCATTCCTAAATGACTCTAATTATTGATTTCTAGCTTTTATGTCCCATTCAGGCTATGTTCTGGCACTGGGCTGGTGCTTGAGGATGACACTTTATTTGTCTGTGCTTTCAGAGAAGGTTGTGTTAGTTTAGAAATTTCTTGACCTTGACTTAAAAAAGAGAAACCCCCCAAATCCACTGCAACCAAAGCTTCTGTTTGCTTAAGGTGTATGAGATGATTCTTTTCCTTGAAGTGGCACTGGCAACCTGTATGTTTGACCCATCTCAGTCACTCTCAAAGAAGTGAAGTTTGGGGGATATTTAAGCTTTTTTTTTTTTTTTTTTTTTTTTTTTTTTTTTTTTTTTTTTTTTTTTTTTTTTTTTTTTTTTTTTTTTTTTTTTTTTTTTTTTTTTTTTTTTTTTTTTTTTTTTTTTTTTTTTTTTTTTTTTTTTTTTTTTTTTTTTTTTTTTTTAAATAAAGTATAATTAAAATGCCTCTGGGAACATTTTGGAGTTCCAACAGCAAGGTTCTTGTAGGAAAAATGTTGCTGTCTGTCAGTGTGCTTGTGGAAGCTGTGGCCTCAGCTGTGGCCCAGGTCCTTATCCCGCTGTAGTGGTTGGAAGTGGGAGGAGTGAGGGACATGTTCAGAATAATGTCCTGGCTGCTGAAAACCAGGAGACTGAGCTCATCCTGGGGGAATCCCAGTCCTGGCCTGGGCCACAGCTGTCCCAGGCATGCTGTGCTCTCAGAGAGCTTTGGCACCAGGAGCAGAGCTGGGGCACGGCCAATGGGTGAGAAGTATTGTGGTTTAACTGTTCTGCAACAGTTACGCTCTGAGCTGCAAATAGTGTCGGGAAAGGAAGGAAATACAGTTTATTGCATCTTCCCTGCCTTGTCTATGAATTCCTGCAGCCTTTCCCTGCCCTCTGCTGGCTTTCCTCGCTGCTGCTGGAGCCACAACAGCCCCAGCCAGGCAGAGCCGGCTCTGCACACGCAGCTCAGGGGCCTGGCTGGCTTTGATTTTTTTTCTTCCTTTTTTTTTAACTCCTGTGGTGCCAGTCTGAAGGCTCACACAGTGCATGTAACACTCATAATTGACAGCAAATAATAAAACAGATGTTTTGCTGTTTGGGACTTCAGACTTGAAAGGTTTTTGTTCAGTGTGTGCATTTTTTATGCCCGTTTATTCTTCCCCATAGAGCCCCCTTGCATGTTATCTGCAGGATCTTACAATCTGTTGAGTTGGAGATTCTGCATAGAATACTTTGTGAAAGTCTTGTCAAAAAGCATCTCTTATTTCCTGCATTCATCCCAGCATTGTGGAGGTGGGAGATGCTCTTTTAGAAGTCACTGCAAGCATGAAAACAGCTTCCTTGCTTCTTAAGGTTTTGTTTTGGTTTGGGTTTTTTTCTGCTGGCTGCTTCCCCTCTGAGCCGGAGTTGGAGTGGGAACAAAGTTTGTGCTGCTGGCAGATTGTTCCAGCTCTCTTCCCTCCCCACCTCCTGGTCCCCACCTCCTCCCTGCCAGGAGGAGCGACTGTTTCTGGTTGTTTGCCTCTGCACTGAGAGTACTTGCTAAGACAACTCTGCTCTTCCCCGTGGTTGCTGCAGAAGCCAAAGGAGTACGTTGTGTTTCATTCCAGCCAGCTCCCCATGTGATTAGAAATGGAGAAATGGGACACTATGGAGGAACTGGGACAGGTAGACTTGGGTCAGATGAGATCAGGGGCTCAGCGAGCTGCTTGCCAAAATTCCTGTGTGACCAGGAGTCACGAGTCCCGTCTGCCTCTCAGAGCATCCTCTGAGGAGGTGGCCTGGCCACCTGGGCAGAAGGGACCACAAAACACTGTGTGTGGACCAGGGATGGAGAGGAAGGAGGGAGGTGGGCTGGGGAGCCTTGGAGTTGCACAACGAGTCAGTCATTGTAAGTTCAACAACTGGCCTGGTAGAACATAAGGAAATAAAAACATATCTATTGTTTTTTTCCTCTTTGCTTCTCAGTTTGACAGGCTGCCAGGGATCCCATGTGGAGATCGATGCTCTCCTCCCATTTACACAATTCCTCAGGGTGGGAGCAATGGGAGTGTCCCAGTGTGCACACTCCTGCTTCTCTTTCTAGAGCAGCCTGGCATCAGTGCTGCAGGGTGTCCTCATCCCTCAGGGAAAGGTGGCCTTGCTCTCCCGGGGTCTGTGCCCTTCTTAACTTTGGGGGCCCCTTTCTGCCCACAACACATGGTTCCTGCAGGAGGTAGCTGGTGTGGGGATTGCCTGCATTGATGGCAGCTTTGCCAGGGACTGCGTTTCTGTAGGAAAGGAGGGATTCTGGAAATAAAATCGTTCCATTGTGTCCCTTCCCTCCCTGGTCACCGCTGTTAGCTGGCCGGCAGGAAACATTTGCCTCGCGCAGCTGCTCTGTGTGCTCAGCTCTGGCTTCCTCAGCTTCCATTTTCCCCATCAGTAAAGTGAAACTAAAAGGTTTTTGTTACATCCTGGCAAGCAAACAGCATCTGACCCGTCTGTAACGTCCGTCCAGCGATGGAGTTATTGAACTGGTCGTGACATCAGATCTATACAACTGGTTGTGGAAGCACTTAGTGCTCTGTAAGTGGGGTTTGGTTTGGGGGGGGGGTTGTGCCGTGCCAGAGTGATTCTTGGTTAACAGGAGTTTTCCCGAGTGATGGGTGCTCAGGCTGCTGAAGGCTTTTCACTTACTGATACCTGAGGAGCAACACAAAAGTGCTGAAGAGGAGAAATAAACGCTGGTATTGGTTCCTTCGCTAACTTCAGCTCGGGATGTTGATCAGTACAGTCAGAACTTGGACTGAGGAGCCTTGGTGGGGGAATTGTGTGAGTGGAGCTTGGGGCAACATCTGGCCAGAGGCTGGAGCTCCACTAGCAGCCCCGCAGGTGCTGGGACAGTGGCCAGCGGCGCTCCCACAGCTCTTGCTGTAAAAGGACAAGCGACGTGGTCGTGGATATCAATGCAAGGAGGAAATGTCTTTCATGAGACATTGATCATTTTAGCAGCCAGCAATACAAATAATGAAACATTTGCATAATGGAGCTGGACGATGGTGAGTTCTCATGTTCTTCAGCAGATGTGGATTCACACAGCAGATCCATCACAGACAGTCCAGGCAAAGTTCACAGCGCAGGGAAAAACTCCTTGGCATTGCAGTTGATGCAATTTTTATGGATGTGTTGCACATCCTGTTGTTAAACCTCTTCCCAGGAGCTCATCAGTAAATGAGCTGCTCCGGGGAGCGGAGGGCGGCAGGCGCGGCGGGAGCAGGTGGGAGCAGGGAATGGTGTTGCATCATGTTGTTTTGGCAGCTCACCTGAAGGGCTTAGAGCTGTTCCAACCTCTGCAGCAAAAACAGGAGGGAAAATTATGAGGGAAATGAGCTGAAATTAGTGTGAACTGGCAGGAGCCCTGGAGTCATCAAGAGATTGGGAATTCATGGCTGTTGTAACAGAAGTGATTATTGTAGAACCGGGGGAATTGCTCACAGACTTGAAAATCTCCTGTAACTTCTTGCAGCATCTCAGTTTTGATGATTTCAGCCTTGGGGATGAGCACAAGGGGTGCCTGGTCCAGGCTCCAATTCCCCAGGACTTGCCTGAACTGATGCCATTTATGATGTAAGACACCAAAGCTCCTAATTCCATTTGTACCCAAACCCATGCCCAGGAAAAAAATATCCCCAAATCTTTCTTCCATGAAAGGGATAG